TGCGCCCGATTCACCCTCTGCTCTGCCACCGCCGCCACGTCGTCGGAGGCCGTCGCCTCATCTTCGAGGGCCGCGCCCGCCGCGGCGACGCCCCGCCCGGGCGCGCCCGCGACTATGAGGCCAGAAAGGATGCATTTGATCCGCCTGTCTGTCAGCTTCTGGAGCGAGGGGTCCCCGAGGTTCTTGTATGCGTTGGTGAGCATGCGGTGCAACCCGTGCACCTCCTGCGCGACCTCAAGCCGCTCGAGGTGCTGCTGGTACACGCACTGCGCCCAGCGCTTAAGGAGGCGATGTTCGGCCTCGTTGCCCAGGGCGCCGCTCGCGACGTGAACTCCCCAAGCCATGGCCCTGATCAGCGAATTGTTCATGGGATATCCGAAGTGGCCGCGCCGCGCCCCGCGCTGGACCACGCGAAGCGCCGCGGTCCCCTTGAGGCTCTTCCTCGCCATCTCGACTGGGTAGGTCTCCGCGATCCTCTTAAGCTCTGCGACATACTCGGCGTGGGCCTGGGAAGGCTTCCCCATGAAATCTGCGTCTTCCCTATCGCCCCTTGGCCCAGCTGCCGCTACGAAGCCCAGATGTCCGCGCCGCCGTTGCTGCCGTGGTAGAGGTCGTCGGCGGTCGGCGCGCCAGGGGCCGCGATCGGGAACTTCTTCTGGATCGCCATGATCGCACGAGAGCAGGAATTTCGCTTCTGCCCAAAGCAATGCTCCACGCGGAAGACCAGGTGCATGAGCGTCCTCGGCGCAGGCGAGGCCGTTGGGCAGGGCCTCCAGGAATCCCTCGCTGGGCGAGTCGGTGAATAGGAATCGCACCTGGCCGATCATCTCGTCCGTAAACCGGTGGCGCAGTGCCGCCTTGAACGACTCGACCACCTCCTTCGGCTGGAGGCTGAAGCCTGGGCAAGCGCCCCCGCGATGCCGATGAACGTGCGAGCAGTGTGGCGCTCGCCGTCGCGCTGCGCCATGCGCGCCTGCCCGATGATGGAGAAGGTCATCTTGAACGTCGCGTCGTGCGCTATCGCCACCCATTCGCCCCGCTCTGTCGCGGCAGCTTTCAGGCGGCGGAGCGCATGCTGGACAGCGCCGCCAGGGTTCTTGAACATGACAATCACGCACTCCTTCACCGTCACCTGCATCGTCGGAAACAATAGCGGCACGCCCCCTGCGTCCTCGGCCCACCTGGCTAGCATCTCGTCCACCATGGCGCCGACGTGGCCCCTGCATCGGAGCGCAAGGCTAATGACGGCGTCGTCGAAGTCGCGGGAGCAGTAGACCTTTTCTGTCGCGCGGGTTGCGTCGGCCGTCCTGCACTTCAACCAGTACTCGGGGCCAGGCCGCGTAAGGACCATGACGATGGGGACCTGGTCGTTACGTTTCAGCACCTCCAACTCGGCGGGCGGAGCACCTCGGTTCCATCCCCGAATCATGGAAGCGCTCTTCTCTAGGAGATCATCGGCGGCGCTGCCTGGCCAGCATGTGCTCTGGGCCAGACGATGGCGGTGCAACGCCTTCGCGACGTTGAGCTGCGGGTAAGTCTTGGTGCGGAGGCCGTGCGCCGCTGCTGTGAAGAATGGAGCCGTGTGGTACTTCATGTGCTCTACCAGCTGCGCCCTGCGCTTGAAGGATCGGAATGGGCACAACTTGCACGTCTGCTCGACGACGCCGCCAGCGCCGCCGGCCGCTCGTTCACGCAGGGCGCCGTTGCAATTGCCCACCTCGGCGGCCAGCGAGGCCGCGAAGGGTCCAGCGGCGTCGTCGCCGACGCCCGCCATCCGCGGAGCAGCCCGCGGCGAGGCCGCCGAAGTCTCGAGCCAGCGGGCTGCGCGAAACGCGAAGACGGCAATTGGGGGAGCATTGCGAGAGACGGAACTGCAGGAGAACAGCTCGGGCACGCGGGAGGAGTCGACGACGACTGAGAGGTTTTTGGAGACTACAACTTGAGCCAACGCGTTAGAATAACTTGAGCCATGAGCCCCGCTGTGGGAAAGGTAACATTTAGTAACTAACCGTTGTGCCGCTTGCAATTGGCGTTGCGTGCGTTTGCCGCCCCCGCCCCGCCCCGCCCCGCCTTCTGCCCGACCCGACCGTCGTTTCTCTCTCTGCCGCGAGCGCCCCCTCGCTCCGGCTTCTAGGTCGCCTGCTGGTCGCCAGTGCCTTCTGTAGCAAGCCCTCCCCGTTGAACCAAACCCTGGTGAGCAGGATTCTCTGGAGCACCGAAGCAAGGGGCACTTTTCTGGAGTCGTGCAGCACCGTGCGGAGCTCCAGGTCGGTGGAGTTGAGCTCGTGCGAAGCCTCGCCGCCGCGGTGTGCCAGCCACTCGGGGTGGACGAGGAAGGACGTGACCAAAAAGTTCTGCGCCAACCTCGATAAGAGTTTCTCGGCCACGCTGCGCCCGTGCAGCTTTTCGACTGAACTCACCGCCCTGGCGCTTGCGAAGGCGACCAAGCTGTCCACCTCGTCGTCACGCGTGCGCGCGCCGCGCCGGAGCCCTCCGACCTGACGCTCGGCAGCGCCTTCCCTCCGCTGTCCACCATGATGCCGGCAGAGGGGCAACCCGTCCTGCCCTACACAGTTGGTGCGGTGGTACCCTGTGGGGCCCGCTGCCCCTCGGGCTGGGCACGGCAACCAAGTCGGCGGCATGTCCAACTACCTGGAGCCCAATCGGCTACGGAAGAGGAGGCGCGGAGGATGAACAAGGGAAGCGATTGAACAATAGGATGGAGTGCGCGAAATAAAACGAAGATCGCGAGACAAGAAGCGGAGAAGAATCAGGAGGGAAGGTCGAAGAGCAGGAGGGGAATAATGAGAGTAAACAGGAGGACAGGGGAGGATCAGAGGGATTGGAATACCAATAGCAGGTAGTTAATCGGAAGGTTGTCATCAATACTTACTTCCACCAGCTTCCGCGCAAGTTTCGACGACGCCTGCAAGAAGAGGAATGGGACGATGTTCGAACTACCACCAGCTGTGAGCTACCACTCCGCGCGGCCGATGCCACAGGAAAGACGGAGGGTGGAGGTGTGGAGGGCTGCAATTAGAACGACCCCCTCCTGTGTGACACGGAACGCAGAAAAAGAATAACAAATAGAAAGGCAATGGATCCGAAGCATCACGGACGCCCCCCCCCCCCGCCCCGTTCCACTAACCCGAACTGCCGTCACCCGAAAAACACCAGCTACGGCAAACCTGGTTTAGTGATCCGGGCCAATTGAAGGGCTCGGGGGCCCTGCCACTAACCGGGTCCCCGTACCTTTAAGTCGGGCGTGTCCCCCTGAAGGGGGATTTTCGACGAAAAAATAAAAAGTACTCACACCATGCTCAAACAACTATTCAGAAAATTGTCACAAAATACTGAGAAAAACAGTCCCCCGACTATTTTTTCCATGATTTTTGAATATTCCCCCTGTAGAGGGACACGCCCGACTTAACCTTACCTTCGGCGGTGGACAAACCTCCCTTTAGCACACCTCCCCTTAGTGAAAACGGCCTGGGACCGAAACCGACGGACCTGGACCCGCAAAAAATGACGGCCGCGACGCCCTCTCGCGAACCGAAAACGGCCAATTCACTAATCGACGTGTCAGGGTAGGAGGTCTGTCCACCCCCGATTACCTGGGGTCCTGGCTATGCCCGAAGAAGGCCACTGGCGGCGCTCAGCCCAGAACGCCCGCGCCAGTCGCCGCCGCGCCGGCACAGCACGGGCCCGCAGACCTCCAAACGTGCAGTCAGGCAGTCTCCGGGCCCTCCGGGGAGGAGCGGGGCGAAGAGGGCGGAGGAGCGAGGAGGAGGAAGGATGAAGGGCGACGAGGATGGAGGACGAGCAGGGGGAAGGAGGAAGGATGGAGGACGGGGAGGAGAAGGACGATGAGGATGGAGGACGAGGAGGATCGATGACGGCGGAGGAAGAACGAGGAGGGAGGAGGAGGAGGAGGAGGAGGAGGAGGAGGAGGAGGAGGACAACTCGCTCGCTGAACGTCGCATATAGCAAGCCCCGTTCTCGAAGCACGAGGGCGAGTGGAGGAGGAAGGAGGGGAAAGAGAAGGAGACAGGAGAAGGGGCGGGAGGAGGGGAAGCGAGGATGATGGAGGAAGAGGGGGGAGACCCGGAGGTCCGACGATGCGAACAAACAAATATCCTGGCGAAGGACCCAGCAATATGCAGCTGTGGACATTGCCGTTGTGAGTATCGCCTTCGGTGGATCTCCGTATGGGGCCACGAAGCGCACGCAAGGAGGGTGTGCCGCTGGGCCCTTCGGTGAGATCAGGTGCGGAGCCACGCCATGCGGACCCTGGAGCTCCCGCTGGGACCACGAAGCCTGTGAGGGGTGCGCCGCCTCGGGCGCGGGGGGCGCCGTGCGGACGCTCACGCTGGGGCCTTCGGAGGAGCCCCCATGCGGACCCTGCCGCGGGGCCCTTCGGTGGAGCTCCCACTGGGACCACGAAGCCTGTGTGAGGGGGTGCGCCAAGTCGGGCGCGGGTACGCCGTGCGGACCCTGCCGTTAGGGGGGCCTTCGGTGGAGCTTCCAACAGGGACCACGAAGCCAGGCGGGAGGAGGCAGGGGGAGGAGGAAGGGGGAGGAGGAAGGAGGCGGGAGCGCGGGGCGCCGCCCGCCCCCCCCGAAACGAGGACCCAGCACCACGGGGTGGTCGGGCATGCACGTCGCGAACAATCACGAGCGGCCTCGATCCCTCTGCGGCCCCTCTCGAGCGGGATCGATCCTGTGGTGGCCCGGAGGCCCGCAGCTGGGGAGGATCGGCGGTGGACAAACCTCCCTGTTGCACACCTGCAGTTCGTGAAAACGGACTGGGACCGAAACCGACGGCCCTGGGCCTTCAAAAAAGGACGGCCGCGACGCCCTCCCGCGACCCGAAAACACACGGCCGATTCGCGACTCGACGCGTCGAGGGGAGGAGGTCGATCCCCCTGCGAGGGGAGGAGCGAGCCCCAAACGACCCCCCGCGGCTGCGCCGGACGGTGCCGCTCCTCGCCCGCCGAGGCCTCTCGGACGCGGCGGGGGCCGCGGGGGCCCCGCGCTCCGGCGGCGCGGGCTCGTCCGCGCCCACCAGGGCCGGCTCGCCGGGGGTCTCGCGGGGCGGGGGCGGCTCCTCCCTCGCGAGGGCGGCCTCTCGGGAGGACGAGGGGCAACGAAGGGGGGGGGGCTGGCAGAGGTGGAGGGGCCCCAGGACACACAAATAGATACACACAAATAAGATGACTCCTGATGTTTTCCCATTTTCATTGAGTTTTTGTTTTCCCCCCCCCTTCCCATATTTTCCCATATTTTCCTGGGAATGAACGATGAAATTGTGTCTGTGTGTTTCCTCCCCTCCTGAAAAGGGGGCGGCACGTCGCCGAGGCAGCGGCCGAGGCCCCCCCCCCCGAGAGCGGAGGCCGCAGTCGTCCTGGGCCGGGGGCGATTATGCCGGGCACCTCTCGGCGATCCGTGGGCGGGTGGGGGCCGAGGCAGTGCCGATCCCCCCGATCGGTCCTCCGTCAAGAAGAAGCTGGCACACACGCACACACACACACACACACGCGCACACACACACGCACGCGCACACGCACGCACGCACGCGCACGCGCACGCGCACGCGCACGCACGCGCACGCACGCACGCACGCGCACGCGCACTCGCACGCGCACACGCACACGCACACGCACACGCACACGCACACGCACACGCACACGCACACGCACACGCACACGCACACGCACACGCACACGCACACGCACACGCACACGCACACGCACACGCACACGCACACGCACACGCACACGCACACGCACACGCACACGCACACGCACACGCACACGCACACGCACACGCACACGCACACGCACACGCACACGCACACGCACACGCACACGCACACGCACACGCACACGCACACGCACACGCACACGCACACGCACACGCACACACACACACGTACACGTACACGCACACGTACACGCACACGCACACGCACACGCACACGCACACGCACACGCACACGCACACGCACACGCACACGCACACGCACACACACACACATACACACATGGACTTCGGGTGCTGCTGCGACAGGTTCGCGTCATCCAGACTTCGGCGCTGGTTTCTGACACAGCGGGGATCGTTCCACTCTGAACGGTCGGCGGTTTCCGAAACGTTAGCTCGTTCAACGTCGTCCGCTTCTGGGTCGCTGGCGGCGTTCAACGTGGAACGCCCGCGGCGGGGTCGCCGCCGGTCGACACGACGCGAACTTACCATGCAGTGGGGACCCGTCCACAAGAGACCTTCCACGAGAAACCCAACCCTGAGACCCCAGGGCGTCCCTGGACGTTTTTTGGTGTGGGCACGCCACGCCTTCCATGGCGAAGCCATCGAGACCCCAAGAATCGGCGGTGGACAAACATCCCTTTAGTAAACCTCCCCTTAGTGAAACCGGCCTGGGACCGAAACCGACGGGCCTGGACCCGCAAAAAGGACGACCGCGACGCCCTCTCGCGATCCGAGAACGGCCTATTCCTTAAACGACGCGTTTGGGGAGGGGGGGTCTGGGGGTCTAATTTGAACTGTCTTGGAGGGTTCGGGGGGGTCTGGGCAAAGGGCCGCCCTTTGATGGATGGTCTGGGGGGGTCTAAGACTTCTCGTCTGGGAGGGTTGAGACCCCCTCCCTTTTATCACGAAATCTGGTCTACCCACCTCCGAAAGAAGCCCAGGGCACCCCTGGAGGCCAGCAGGGCGCGTCTTGGCGTGGGCCCCCACGCTGCACGTGCGGCCCCGGCCCGAGGGGGCCCCCCGCCCTTCGCTTCGCCTGCCCTCTTAGGGAGCGCCCCCCGGGGCTCCGCGGGCCTCGCGTCAGGTCGGGCCCGTCCCCCTGCAGGCCGATTCTCGAGGCAAAATTGAGAATAGTCAAAACATACCCAAATAATATATATATATATATATATATATATACATACATATATATATATATATATCATATCTGATCTAATCTAACATATATAGTACAACCGAACTTATGTCATTAGAAAAGAACAATATACCCCAAACTGGTTACTATACTATATGTATATATATATATATGTATATATATATGCATGTGTAAAAATAATATCCAGGCTATATGTTTAAAACTATGTTTGAGTACTCCTCCTGTAGAGGGACAGGCCCGACTGAAGCCTCGCGGCGGGGTGCTCGACTCTACGAGAGGCCACCCGGGCCTCCCCCGGGGGGGGCCCCGGGGACACCTTAAGGGGCCTGGGTGACGCCCCTCTGGCGACACACCCCGGAGCCTCTCGACGGTCCGCACGGACTCCCTGGACGGGCGCTGGACCCCCTCTGCCTGGCGCGGGGAGCGTGCCAAGTTGGCCATCGCTCGGACGTCCATTCCCAGTTTTTTCGGTTTCGTGTGTGGCTTTTTCGCCAAGTGATCAAGGATGCTCGTCGATGGTCCTCGCCGAAGGAAAAATGCACACGTCCGAGCGATGCCAAGCTGGAGGCCTCCTAGATCGGGTCCGAGTAACTAGATGGGGTCCGAGAATCTCGCCGCACCGCCGATACGTCGGCGATGCATCGGCGATGCAGCGGCGATGCCCCAGCGATGCATCGTCGACGTCGGCGATGCATTGGAGACGTCGGCGTGAAGCAGATCGGGCTCCACATCAGGCCGCATCGGCGATGCATCGGCGATGCGTCGCGATCCTCCGAACCCGTCTGCTCCGACCCCGTCTGGGAGGCCTAGAGATATGGGAGCGGCGCTGGAGGCGCCGCCCGGGGGGGGGCCCAGCGAGGACCCAGGAGATCCGCGCTGACCTCCCAGGCCCATGCTTGACCACTTGTTCTTCTTCGGGGCCTGCAGGAGAACCCACTTGAGCGAGTCAATCACGAGGGCGGCCATCGCCAGCGAGCAGCCCAGGACCTCGTTGCCGCCCAGGGCTTCGCCCTGCACGCGCCTCCACGTGGCTATCTCCTGCAGCACGCCCCCGACGACGAGCAGGGATGCGGCAGCAAGCTTCTCCTTGCCGAGCTGCTCTAAGCCGAACAGGCGCGCCAGAAACATGACGATAATCACGTTCAGGGAGAAGAGCATAGTCCGCTTGGAGACGCTCAGGAACAGCAGGGCCTCGTTCTTCGCGGCGATGGAGACGCCCTGCAGCAGGCCCACCAGGAGGAGCACCAGGTGCTCCCGCGCCGACAGCCACCGGAACGCGCGCTGGACCGCCCAGTCCTCCTCGCGCCTCGCCTTCTGCGGCAACGCCGACGCCGGCCACGGCCTCTTTGGAGGCCCGAAACGGTGCGGTGACGGACCGTGCGGTGACCTCGAAATCCCACAAGACCTCACGGCACGGTCCGTCACCGCACGGTCTTGGGACCCTGGAAGCCCATGTCGCCCGATACATCCTCCTGGCCATCGCTCGGACGTCCATTCCCTGTGCTTTGTTCGGTTTCGTGCGTGTTTTTTTCGCCAACTGATCAAGGATGCTCCTCGATGGTCCTCGCCGAAGGGAAAATGCACACGCCCGAGCGATGCCAAGCCTCGGAGAACGACTCGAGTCCCAACACCGTGCGGTGACCCCGGATCCCCACCCGCTCACCGCACGGTGTGGCCACCACCTGAGAAAGCCTCTGTGCTGACAACGGTGAGAAACCCTCTGTGCTTACCAAGGGCTCCTAAGTTCGCGCTTCGCGCTGCGCGAAGCGCGAATAACTTCGCGCTCTCGCGCCGCCCCCCAAGGGGGAGAAGAGAAGGACGAGGAGGAGGGAAGGGAGGAAGGAGAACGGCGAAGCACGAAGCGCGAATAACTTCGCGCCCTCCTGGGAGCCCTTGCTTACAGTGGTGAGAAACCCTCTGTGCTCACAGTGGTGAGAAGCCCTCCCCGTCTGGGGGCCCCCGAGCCTCGGGCGCCTGCCCGCGGCCGCCGGGCAGGCGGGCGCCCCGGGCTCGCGCCCGCCCTCGGCCTGCGCCGGGCAGGCGGCGCGGGCGGCGCGGCCCGAGCACGCGCCCCCGAGGAGGTGCAGCAGCCCGCACGCGGCGGCGGTGGCGACGTTGGACGCGAGCGTGAGGGCGAAGGGGTGCGGGTACGAGAAGGCCTCGCGCCCCGGGGGCGGGCTCGCGGGGAGGCCGTGGGACTCCGCCCGCCCCCCGTGGCGGCCGCCGCTGGCACCGTGCCCCGGGGTGGCCTTCAAGACCAGGGTCACCCAGCTCCTCCTCCTCCTCCTCCTCCTCCTCCTCCTCCTCCCCCCTCCTCCCTCCTCCCCTCCTCCTCCTCCCTCCTCCTCCTCCCCCTCCTCCTCCTCCTCCTCCTCCTCCTCCTCCTCCCTCCTCCTCCTCCTCCCTCCTCACAGTGATCGCGGCGACGGTGATCAGACCAGAGCGGTCGATCATCGGCCGTGCCCAAGCGTGCGGCCTGGGTGCCCCATTCCAGCTGGCGGGCTGCACCTCGAGCCCAGGTGAAGCCACCCAACTTTTCGGATTCTCCGGATGCTTCGACTGATGCCTGGTCTCTTCATTGTCTCCCAGCGTTTCGCCAGCAGGATCCCTCACATGTCCTGGCAGCTGAGGCTCACGAGGACTCAACATGTCGACTGGACACTGAGAGAGTTCAACGTTCTCCGCTATTTGAGTCGAATGGCAAAATAGCTGGGAAATTGATTGAACCACCCCCTGGTAGACCGTCCTGTTCATCTCATACCCTTTCGAGCGTCGTTCGAACTCCCGTTTCAACTGGCAATTTCGACCGTTGCGTCGCGCGACTCTCCTTTCAATGATGAGCTCGACGAACTCATCTCCGACTCTACTGGCACAGATAGTTCCCCATCGATATCAATATTTCTCGTGCTTGTGTCTCCTCTCCCAGGTCCGCGAATGGGGCTAGGACTGACTAAGCCAGCCCTACCCGAAGCAATGGAACCTTTGATCTTAATAGGCACGCCGATTGGCAACATAGATGGTCTATTTCGGCGTGGCTGATTATGTAAACTGTTATTATGAATTTTGTCCCAGGCTTTCGGCTGACCAGTCAATTGCCAGAGGATTAAGCGATGTTGACATTTTGCTTTGTATGTTCGCTTGTCCTGCAACCGTCGTCGGGTCGATCTCCTCAGTAGACTCGATCATTGAGTTCGACATGGCTCGAATGTCTGTCCGTCAGAGGCGTGAGGGACGCGCGCGCGCGCGCCCTTTTCCACCTACTCGCAGCCCATCACAGCTGCGGTGCATGCGGTGACAAGCGGCGGTGTCCGGTGGTAGCGGCGGCGGCGGCGGCAGGAAACGGCGAGGAAAGAGTCATGTTGACTCAGAGGGGCCCACTACGGCCCCAGGGGGCCCAGAAGGCAGCCCTAAGAAGGGCCCCAGAGGACCATGAACCGAACATCCGAGTCGTCCGGGGAGCACCTCCATGGGAGGTCTTGGTAGGAGCGCCTGAAGGCCGTGGGTAGGGTTAGGTCGGGCATGTCCTCCCACAGGCGGACTTTTGACCAAAAACAAGAAGCAGGCAAACGATACGCCACACATGCATAAAAGTAGTCAAAACATCGTCCCCTGACTATTGTTTGTGACCATTTTTGACGATTCCCCCTGTAGAAGGACACGCCCGACTTGAGTGTAGGGCGAGTAGGGCGAGGACATCGTCGTGGTGCGGTTGGCGTATGTGCGTCACGGGGCCCCGGTGTTCTGAGGAGTGCAGCGGCCCTCGGCCATGCGTGCTCGGCCATTCTTCACTGGCTGCGCGTGAGAACAAGAGGACACAAGAAACTTAGGTTGTAACTGTCCGTTATCAGTATTCCTCGCTTCTCCGGACGAAGCGAAGCACGATGGAGGGGGGCTGTGCAGATCCATTCGGACTGAGCGGGGCAAGATTGAACCATGTTGAGCGGGACCTGGCAGGGCAAGGATATGCGGAGTATACCCTCGCCGATGCCCAACAGCTCATCAAAACCAACCAGGTGACAACATCATTGCTGCTTCGAGCGATCCCGGGATGGATATCCCCGCCCAAGATCGCGAGGCGAGATACCCAGGGAGCATCTACACATCTTGGGCATGTCGATCGCGCTATGCAACTCGTAATTCGAAGGCGGGATGCGGGATGCCCAGAGAACACTGGCACACTCTGGACCTGACGGCCGCGGTGCAGTGGAGGCCAGTCCACAAGAGACCTTCCACAAGAAACCCAACCCTGAACCCCAGGACGTCCATAGATTTTTGGCGTGGGAACCTCACGCTCTCCACAGCAGAACCATCGAAACCCAAGAAGCCCAGGGCACCCTGGAGGCAAGCAGGGTAGTTCTTGGCATGGGTCTCCTCTGCATGCAAGGTGCTCGAGGCGAGTCGGGAACCCTAACCAGAAATGAACATCGAGCAGCCCCAACCTGTCGGGTGGGGGGAAACAGCGCGGCGCGTGGGGCTCCTTCTTGATCGCGCCCGACTCCTTGTAGAACTGCTCCAGCACCGCCGTGGCCTGCGCGATGGCCGTCTGCGCGTCCTGCGCGTCCTTGATGGCAGCCTGCCCTCCTCCGCTGCTGCTGCTGCTGCTGCTGCTGCTGCTGCTGCTGCGCTCCTCCTCCTCCTCCTCCTCCTCCTCCTCCTCCTCCTCCTCCTCCTCCTCCTCCTCCTCCGCCTCCGCCTCCGCCTGCGCCTCCACCTCCTCCTCCTCCTCCTCCTCCGCCTCCTCCTCCTCCTCCTCCTCCTCCTCCTCCTCCTCCTCCTCCTCCTCCTCCTCCTCCTCCTCCTCCTCCTCCTCCGCCTCCCCCTCCCACCCTTAGGCAACCACATGTGAACCCTACCCCTGCGGGCCAGAGCTCTGAAACGCGGCCGCCAAGTGAGCCCGAGCGTGCGACGAGTGCACCCGCACGGTATGGTTCGCAGTTGGTCGCGAGACCCTCTTCCTCAACCTACCCTTCTCCCTCGCTCCGCCTGCCCCCTGGTCCTCCCATCCTGCTCCCTGGCAGGACGGGGACTCGGAGACAGAGGGTGCGGAGGGGGGAGGAGAGGGAGGGGGAGGAGCAGACGGGGGGAGGGAGGATGCGGAGAAGGCGGATGAGGGAGAGGCAGAGGAGGCGGAGGAGGGATAATGCAGACGGAGGAGGGGGGAGGGGGAAGGCCGGCGGAGGAGGCGGAGGGAGAGGCAGACGGAGGAGGGGGAAGAGGGACGGGAAGGCGGAGGAGGGATGACGGACTGCGGGCAGGCGGAGGGATGGGCAGGCGGAGGAGGAGAGGCGGTGGCGTCGCTAGGGGCGGAGCACGAGGGGGGAGGCGGCGAAGCGAGAAGTGGGAGGAGGAGCCGATCGAGAGCAGGAACGACGGCACGAGAGAAGGCAAGGCGCACGAGGGGACGGGGTCCGGGGAGACAGTGGTCCTGGACCACCCGGGGCGCTCCCCAGGACCAGCTCCCTGTCGTGGGGCGCTCGTTCGACGGTCCCAGTGCCCCGGGGGGCGGGCCCCAGGCACCGAGAATGGCAAGACACCTCGGGATCCCCTTCCTCCAAGATCCCCTTCTCTTCATGGTGGGGTGGAGGTGATGATGGGAACCTAACAAACTGACAGGTCCACCTCCGTGCAGCTCCCTCTCCCCTCCTCCTCCTCCGGCTGTTCTCGCGTCTCGGAGGGCGGCGGAGGGGGAGCGACGTGGATCTGTGCAGTTGTCCTTCTCCGTCGCCAATGGCGAAGGAGGGAGGAGGTCTCAGAAGTCACTGGGGCTCCCCAGAATTTCGCAAAGAGGCCTTCGTAGATCCCCGGGAAGACTCCCGAAGCCCTAGGAGGCCCCAAAAGTGCCCAGAGCATCACGGATACGACTCCTGGGCCACCCTTGGAGTGGTCAGGATATCCACGTTGCGGTATGGGCGCAGCTTTCGGTTTGCGATTGGCGCCGATCGGGGCGTCACGACCTACCTCCGATCCCACGATCGATCCGTCAAAACCGCTCAACATATAGTGTTGCCACAGTCGATCTACCGACCACGACATATATATATATATACAACGCTCGTAACCACCACGCCATATACATATATACCTACATACCTACACACACACGTACATACATGCACACGCATGCATACGTACATACACACCTATACCTACCTACCGACCTACCTACCCACCTGCCTACATACATCCATACGCACGTGCATACATACATGCATACATGCATATACATATATATATATATATGTGTATATATATGGATATGTGTATACGCATACATGCATATATGCAAACATACATACATACACACATGCATACATACATACAAACATGCATGCACACATACGTACATCCATACATACATCCATCAATACATCCATCCATACATATATACATGCATGCATGCATGCATGCATGCCTGTATGCACGCATACATACACAAACAAATACACACATACATACACACATACATACATACGTACATGCAAACACATATACATACATACAAACAAACATACATACATACATACATTACATACATTACATACAATACATACATACATTTATAGATACATACATACATACATACACACAACCATACATACATACATGCATACATACATACATACATACATACATACATACAGACAGACAGACAGACAGACACACATACATACATATATACATATACACATCCATACATACATACATACATGCATGCATGCATGCATACATACATACTTACTTACTTACATGCATCCATGCATGCATGCATGCATGCATGCATACATACATACATACATACATACATACATAGATACACACATGCACACAGGCACACCTATGTATAGACATGCCGCTCGAACGATAAGGTGTGTACGTATATGTATACACATGTATGTGTGTACTTGTATGTATTCATGCGAACTTGTAACATCACTGGTGGGTACACATGTACATACATGTTATATTTGATGCATTACAACATGCGCGCTTCGCCCGTGCTGTCGAGTCCGAGCTAGGCTAGATGGTCGAGCTCTTGGGGATCTATGTTCCGTGACACTTCTTCTCTGGGGATTCCAAGAACCACGAAGACCACCCAAGTAGTTTCCAAGACTTCCTACGGTCCACCCACGACGGCTTGAGACAGGCCCAGAAGGCACTTCGGGAGCACTTTTATTCGCCGCGGTTCGACGTAGCCGGAGGAAGAGGGAGGAGAAAGGGCGGTGAAGGGGTGCCCTGGGGAAGAAGGAGGGGAGGAGGAGGAGGAGTTGAAGGTGGAGGAGGCCGCAGAGGAGGAGGAACTGGAGGAGGAAGAACTGGAGGAGGAGGAGGAGGAGGAAGACGAGGAGGAGCAGGAAACCTGTTGCTTTTGCTTGCAAGCGTAGCGAAACAGCCAGGCGAACTTGACACACAAAATGTTGAATTCCCGTTTTTCTCAAGTGCCCTCGGGGACTCTCTGAGGGCTCTTGTTGGCCTCTTTGGGGCTTCTTGGGGACCTCTTGAAGCCTCCTGGGGGTTTCCCTGGGGCGCAGATCTCGGGTTCTCGGTTCACGTTCTCGATGTTTGGTGTCCGTTCCATAAGAGCCTGCGTGGCCCCCGGCACTGTCCAATTTGGACCTGATTTGGACCAGATTTGGAACACATTTGGACCGGATTTGGACCAGACTTGGACTGGACTCGTGGGGGCTAGGAGAACGATGAGGGGGAGGGGGAACAGGAGGGGAGAGGAGGAGCAGGAGGATGGGCCAAATGTGGCCCCCACGCTGTCCACATGCAGGAAAAGCCGATCCCAATGTTGCCACCCGAGGCTCCCATGAACAGACATCGAATCGATGCTGGGCCGCGGCTGGGGCCTTTCGGGCCGTCTTGGACGCCTCTTCGGCGCTTTTGAAACTCCTTGGGCCGTCTTGGGGCGCTTTTGAAACTCATTGGGCCGCCTTGGGGCGAGCCTCGGAGCCCCTTGGGGCGTTTTGCAACGTCGGGAAGCGGAAGAGAAGCAGACGCGCCACAAGTATTCAAGAACCTATGGAAAATCCGCCGGCCACTTGGGGTCACGGCGTGAAAAATGCTTCCCCCCCCCAACCCCTCCGAAACCCGGTCCGGCCTGTCTGGAAGGGGGGAAGGGGGGGGGGGGGGGCAAAAGTACCAGCAGTACCCTTGGAGCCTCAGGGAGCCGCCCCGAAACGGGCCAAGAGAGCCCCAAAGGCCTCCCGGACGGTCCAAGAGGGCTACGAGTCGCCAAAGATCGCTCCAAGACGCCAAAGATTGCCTCCAGACGGCCCCAGGAGGCCCCCGACACACCCCGAAAAGCCACCAAAAGGCGTCCCAACAGGCCCTCCAAAGCAAAAATCATCCCATTCCTCTGGGGAAGCGTATGTCTAGCACATTCGCCTCTTGGGCTTTCACGGGGCCCACAACGGCCCAAGAAGCTTTGAATTTGAATATCGATCCAAGATAGCCCAAGAGGCCCTCAGGAGGACTCCAAGACGGCCCAAAAAGGCCCCAATACGGCCCCAGAAGCATCCAAAACGGCCCAGGAAGGCCCCAGAAGGGCCCCAACAGGATCTCCCCGAACCCACGAGGGCACGAAACGCTTCCAATGGAAGCGTCGCCCTCGAAGGTTTGAGGAGCCCCGCGCCAGCAGGAAAGGAAGCGGAAACCAAATGATTCGGCGGCGGCGGCGCCGGGCAAAGCGACCCGTTCGCCCCCCCTCTCCTTCCCCGTGGGTTCGGGGGCTCACCGAGGACCCGACGGCAAAAAACGCTTCCATTGGAAGCGTCGGAAGCGTCGCCCTCGGGGCCCGGAGAAACCCGCGCCCGCAAGAAAGGAGGCGGGGGCCGAACGATTCAGCGGCGGCGGCGGCGCGGGGCAAGGCGACTCGTTCGGCCACGCTCTCCCTCCCCATGCGTTCGCGAATTCACCGGGGCCCAGAGAACCCCGCGCCAGCGGGAGAAGAGGCGGGGGCCGAACGACTCGGCAGCGGCGGCGGAAGGCAAATTGAATCGTTCGGCCACGCTTTCCCTGTCCGTGAGTTCGGGAGCGAACCCCCAAGGGCACGAACCCCCAAGGAATCCTCAGGAACAGGAGTCCTGAGGAACCCGCAGGAGAAATAGTTCAGGAATCTGGCAAAAATCCTTAAGAAATTCTTCAGGAATCCACGTGGACCTTGAAACATCGTTCAGGACCTCTGAGAAATCCTGGAGGATTTCTTCAAGAGTCCTCAGGACTCATCAAGGATCTTCAAGATTCAGTCAAGAATACTTGGCCCCCGGAATCCTTCGCGAACCTTCAGGAATCCAGATGCATCCTTCAGAAACTCGTCAAAAACGCGGATTGCTTCAGGAGCCCTCAGGAATTTGCAGAACTCCTTCAAGTATCATCCGAAAGCCTTTTAGGGACCCTCGGGAATCCCTCAGGACCCTTCAGGAACCCTAGGAAGTCCTCAGGGGGCTCTGAGGAACCCGCAGGAATGCTTCAGGAATTCTCCAGGCATCGTTGAGAAATCCGGAGGAATCCTTCTGATAATCCAAAGTAATCCTACGGAATCCCTGAGGAGTCCAGAGAAATCTTTGAGGAATCGTTCAGAAATCCTCAAGAATCGTCAGGCATGCATCCCCAAAAATCCTCAGAAGTCCGGAAGAATCCTGTAGGAACCCTGTTTTATGAATTCTCCTGCGATCTTCCGAAACTTTGGAAATCCTAAGGAATCCTCAGCAACCGGAAAAAAATCTTTTAGAAATCCCTGAAATTCCCAAGGAACCTGTGAGGAACCTTTCTAGAGAATCGGTAGAGAGTCTCTAGGGAGCCTCTGCGGAGTCTCTGGAAACTCTTAGGAATCATCAAAGAAACCCAGAAGCTTCCAAAGCGGTTGTGATTGGTACCAAATGTTTGGGATTGGTACCGAAATGGTTGGAATCCGCCCTAGATGCTAATTAACCCACCTTCGGGTCCCGCCCCCCCGGATTTCAAAAGTAGAGAAAAGAGAATCTGCACACGTGTGTGCCGATCTCTCTGTCAACTCCAGCTGCACGACAAGCACAGGGGCAGCCACGGGACAACCGCGGCGAGGCACCGACGGGACAGACGCACGACACGCACGGGACCACCGCGGGACCACCGCGGGGCCGGTGGCCACCGCGGGACGGGAGGGACACCTGTCCTACGCCTTGGCCCGAGCCTCGGCCGGCGCGCCGCCGCCCGCGCGTGGCCTCGCCCCGCCCTCGCCCCGCCCGTGCAGCACGGACCGAAGCCGAAACCGAAACCGAACTCCCGCCTGCGGTCGCTCCGTTCTGAGCAGGGGCCGGCCGCCCCGGCTTTCCTGTGCTCCTGCCACGCAGTGTTCTTGGAACCCAGAGATGTTCTCAGAGCAGAAGCAATGCTCTCAGAACACGAACCCGATGTGCTCAAGCAAGACCGGCTCCGCCAGAGATGTTCTGAGAACATCGCGCGAAACCACAAAAAGGTTCTCGGAGCATTGTCTGCTAGGGCTATAGGCGAGCCAGGACGCTTCGCCACGACTTGACCACTCTCACCCCCGAAGCTCCGCCACAGCTTGATTAGGGGAAAAAGAACTATGCACATACACCGACTCTGGCCAGGCCCATCCTTGAGCCCAGGATCGGTGCATACGCCCTCCTGCCCTGGCCAGGAAGGCATACGCACCGATCCTGGGTCAAGGATGGGCCTTGCCAGGATCGGTGCATGTGCATAGTTCCCTCCGCCACGGCTTGATCCTGAATGCTCGAACCTACCCCCGCTGCGACCCCTCCTCCGCCGAGGCGGCTGCTTTTCCTGGATGGGCAGGCCCGGGGTCGGCCGTGGGAGAGCTGGAGCGTCCCCCATCCAAGGGGCCCCAAGGACACACAAGGAAATACACACAGATAAGGATATTCCCATCTTTTCCCATACTTTCTGAGCTTTTGTCTTCCCCCCCACTTCCCATAGTTTCGCATATTTTCCTCGGGATCGGCGATTCATTGCGTCTGTGTGCTGTTTCCCCTCCTGAGCCCAGGCTAACCGCTAACCATGAAGGAGACTTCGTGCGTTGGCTCCAAGGACCTGCCCCAGTAGGCCTCGCCCAGACGGCGGCCGACGCTGAGCAGTTCCGCAGGGTTGCTGCCAATGGCCACTCCGGCCATCGAGGTTCTCCTTCGCCCCCTCGTGCGGCCTGCCAGTCGCTCGCAGACGGTGCCGCCAACTCGCTCAAGAGCGTTGCGCGAGCGCGAGGGCCCGCGCCGATCGGCACAGCAGTGATTAGAAAAAAAACGATCGCGCGGAGGGGCCTTGTTCTCGGCCTTCGCGGCCTCGCGCACGGCGGTGGCCTCCTGCGGGGGCGTGGAGGGGGAGCCCCCCCCCCAGCGCGCCGCAGGAGGGGCGGCGGCGGGGCCGTCCGCGCTCCTCGGCCCGCGCCCCCGGAGGGAGGGAGGGACGGAGGGAGGGGCGAGTAGAGGGAGCGGGGAGGGGGGCGGGGAGGAGGACGGAAGGGGCAGGGGCGAGGAGCGGGATCTCGCCATCGCTCGGGCGTCCATTCCCTGTGCACTTTTGTCCGATGTCGTGCGTGGCTTGTTCGCCAGAGGATCAGGGATGCTCCTCGATGGTCCTCGCCGAAGGAAAGATGCACACGTCCGAGCGGTGTCAAGGGATGGAGTGGAACAGTCGCGAAGCGGTGAAGCGTGACCCGAACCGCTGGCCAGAGCGTGGTGCTCGGCTTGGCTAGGGCTCGTACTTGGGCCACTTGCCCTCGTGTAGACTTGCCGCTTGTCCTCGTGGGCGAGGGCGATGATGAAGAGGCGGAGGAGGAGGAGGAGGATTCAACTAGAGGATTCGATGCGTGGTCGTTCGCGCGGCTCAGGTACCAAGTCCTCCAGCACCAACGGTGAAAACACGAAGCCAACACCGTCAACCCTGGCTCAACTGGCCCCGTTCGAAGAAACGACTCTGCGCCGGAGGCGACAGCAGGAGGAAGAGGGAGGATGGAATGATCGAGCAATGCGCTAATACAGAAGGCTGGGGCTGCGGCTGGCGTTGGAAAGGGAGCGTGCACCATCGACCTCCGAACACACGCTGCACCTGTGAGGCGTCCCCCCCGCGAGGGCTCCTCCTGCGCGCGCCATCTCCCTGCCAGGGCTTCTTCGGCGCACGCCGTCCCCAGGGTGGGGGACCTGCCACCGTGCCTCGGGGCACGGAGTGAGCGTCCTCCTCCTCCTCCTCCTCCTCCTCCTCCTCGTCCTCCTCCTCCTCCTCCTCCTCCTCCTCCTCCTCTCCCTGTCCCCTGCGCCCTCAGGTCCTCTGCCCAGTCCCTGGAGGGAACAAAACAAAACTCTGCACGTGCACCGATGCTGGCCAGGCCCGTCCCGAGCCCGGGGTCCGTGCATGCGCCCTCCTGCCTTGGCCAGGAAGGCATATGCTGCGCCGACCATAGGTCGAGGAATGGGCCCTGCCAGCATCGGCGCGTGCGCACGTGGAATCCTCTTCGCCCGACATCTCCCCGAGCTTCAGCCCCGGAAGCCTCGGCCCTCAATCCCGAGGAAGCTCCCTCGAGGGCCCGGGCCCCGGACGCTCCAATTCGCCGGCCCAACGGGCCAGGGCGTGCCAAGATCTCCGGTACCTGGTTAACAGTATTTCTAGTTCGCGCGCGCGGGGCGGCCCCTGGGGGTCCCCGGACGAAAAGTACCCCGGCAAGGTCCCGGCAAGGTCGGGCCAGAGATGCCCGAGCCCTGTTACAGGGCCCCAGGACGGGCCAAGAGGTCCCCAAGAAGCCTCCAAGACGGACCAAGAGGGCCCCGAGACGGCCAAAGATCGCCCGAAGACGCCCAACAGGGCCCCAAGACAGCCCAAGAGGCCTCCAAGACGCCCCAAGGGCCTTCCAAGAGGCCTCCGAAGAGGGCCCCAAGAGGCCAAAATCGTTGATTTTCATTGTTTCTTTCTATGTTTTTTGCGTTCTGGCTTTTTCGGCTTCCGGACGCTCCAAGACGGCCCAAGAGGCCCCCAAGACCGCTCCAAGACGGCCCACGAGGCTCCCAAGACGGCCCAAGTGCCGCCCAAGACGGACCAAGAGGCCCCAAGACGGGCCCAAGAGGGGCTCAAGAGGGGAACCGAGAACTGAAAAATCGAGCCCTCCGCCCCAGAAGGCGCCCAGGAGGCCCCAAAAAGGCCCCAAGAGGCCCCCAAGAGGCCCCCAAGACGCCCCAAGAGGCGCCCAAGAGGCCCAAAAGAGGCCCCAAGAGGCCCCAAAACGGCCCCCAAGAGGCCCCAAAACTCGGCTAGCCCACAACGGTGCGACAATATGGGCCGGCGAAATGAGCGAAGCGATTAAATTCTGGCGGGGCCTCCCCAAGTTTCCCCTCGAGGCCCGTCGCGGAGTGTCGCCTGACGTTTTGTCGGCCCAAGAGGGCCCCCCAAGACGGGCCCTGGAGGGCCTCAAGAGGCCCCCAAGATGGTCCACGAGGGCCCCGGGTCGCCGAAAGGTCGCCCCAAGACGCGCAAGATGGCCTCCAGACGGCCCAGGAGGCCTCCAAGACGCCCCAAGAGGCCTCGAAGAGGAATTCCAAGAAGGCCCCACGAGGCCCAATCAGTGATTGCCCTGGGTTGTTAAGGGGGTTTTTGGCGTTCTCGCTTTTTCGGCTCTCCGACGCTCCAAAACGGCCCAAGAGGCCCCCAAGACCACCCCAAGAGGGCCCAAGAGGCCTCCAAGGGGCCCCAAGACGGCCTAAGAACGCCCCAAGACGGCCCAAGAGAGTCGCCCAGGACGGCCCAAGAGGGCCCCAGGACGGCCCCAAAAGGGGACCCAAAGAGGTAACACAAACCGAAAATTCAAGATTTCCCGGGATCCAATAGGCGCCCAGGAGGCCCCATGAAACTCCCAAGAGGCCCAAAGAAGGCCCAGGAGACGTCGCAGGATACAGGATGGGGCCCGACCACAAGAGCTTTCCACAAGAAGCCCAACCCTGAGACCCCAGGACATCCATCGATTTTTGGTGTGGGAACCCCGCGCTCCCCACAGCAAAACCATCGAAACCCAAGAAACCCAGGGCACCCTGGAGGCAAGCGGCAAGCAAGGTCTCTTGGCATGGGCGATGAAACTACAAGTATGTCTATAAAACCGGTATAGCCTAAAGTTTGCATGTGAACTATGGTACACGGGACAAATCAATATGTCAAGGGAGCCAGGAGCCACACCGACAAGACCACCGAGTCGTGAGCGGATGGCGCGCGCGCCGCCTTCAGCGGCGCGAGGCCACCCGCCGCGCCGGGCTCGCCTGCAGCTGGCAGCCAGACAAGACCCAGGCGGAGCCCGACGGGTTCTCACGCCTCCTCCGCGCACCTCGGGCAACAGGGCCACTGCTGGAACATCCTCTGGCGCGCAGCGGTCCCTACACCCCAGGAGCGATCGCATGTGGGAGCGGGACCTGGGCCTGAACTCACTTTTACATCGAGGCTCGAGGCTCGGGGAATCGCGTGGCGGCTTGTGCATTGATTATTGCTCTGGGAAAGTGTTTGTTCTCGTCACGCTTGGCGTCCTGATAGAAACAACTCTCTGGGGCGTAACCCCTGGGAAGTCGACCCTTGATGGGAAATGGAGGACGTGGGAGGGAGGGATGAGGCGAGGAGACGGGGAAGAGGAAAGAAGGGAGAGAGAAGGAGGGGGAGGAGAGGAGGGGGATGAGAAGGGACAGGAGGAAGATGAGGTGCGACAGCAATAACAAACACTTCATGTACCGAAATGCTCAATGTTGCTGTGCAACATGCGACCGATGATCATATGATGGCACGTCCCCTTCTTGGGAAGTTGGTCAACGCATAGGAACCACGTTTCCGTTATCCTGGTATCATCGAAGAGCAGTAGGTGGAGGAAAAGGATGGGATGGTAATGATGATGAGGAGGAACACGAGGAGCAGGAAGAGCTGCGCAGAAGGAGAAGAGGTCGAGGAGAGAGAGAAGGGGGGAAATACTGGGGAGGAACGACGAGCAGACGAGGGGATATGCAGGCTGCACCGTCTACTACGCTCCCTGCGGGCTCCTCTACTTTTCGGGGTCCCTTCGCCTTTACCTGTTCCTGGCGACGGATCCTGAATGCTGTGCACACGCTTACTTCTTGTCCACAGACGCTGCGACCACTGTTCGGCTAATTCGGAGAAGCTAAAAGGGAGGATGAAAATGAGGATGAGGATGAGGAGGAGGACGACGAGTACGAGGAGGAGGAGGAGGAGGAGTAGGAGGAGGAGGAGGGGGGGAGGCACGAGGGGGCAAGCAAGAGGAGCATTTTCAGCACAGAGGCCTCCGCTCGGCACGAGGGGGATGTGCCAGTATATGGGCACGGGTCTTGGAAATCGCGGGAGTCCTCCATATGGTTCTCAAGCGTTGCCACCATTTCGTCGGCATCCTCATCGGGGCCCGGAGAGGACGGGAGGGAGTGAAATAGAGAAGGAAGCAGAGAGAGGGGGGAGGAAGAGCGCCAGAGAGAATGAGCGTAAGAGAGAGAGGGAGAAGGAGAGAGAGATAGAAATAACAAAAAACAAATAACAAAGACAAGAGAGAGATAATTCCAAATCAAAACACCTGGATAATTTGAGACAGGGAGAGAGAGAGAGAGAGAGAGAGAGATAGACATGGCAACAACAAACGAGACAGATAGAGAGAGCTAACCACCAACACATGAACGATAGAGAAGGAACGAGGAGACCGGAAAGAGGGGAATGCGACGGACGAGAGAAGGACGCGAGGAGGGACACGGAGACGGCGAGGCAGAGAAAGCGAGACAGAGACACGGAGACTGCGAGAGAGACACTGTGATGAAGGCACGCGAGCGACAGTGATCGCGCAAGTGCAGTGCACTGCGCACCGTCTGGTCCCCTCCCCATTCTCGTTGGCATGAACAGGAGAAAGGGGCTCTCAGGACAAGGGATCCTGCAGCCTGGCGCTCACCGGATGTTCGTCCCTGGCCGTTCTTTGGTCCCCCCGGGCCCGCAGAGAGCCTGGGAAGGCCGAAGACGGCGGTCAACCTCCAAAGCCCGCCCGTTTCCTGCCGCTGCGCGGCTGTCATCATCTCGACAGCTCTGAGCTCGCGAGCCCCCGTTGCTGCCTGGCGCCGGACAACGCACAAAGAAAGGGGCAGCACGGGGTTGCAAACGGGCCATGCGGCAGCGTTCCCTCCTCGAAAGGGGGAGGAGCGAGGAGAGGGGTGGGGGGAGATCGGGGATGGACAGAACCCCCTTTAGCAAAACGTGGCTTAGTGAAAACGACCTGGGGCCCAAACCTGGCGGGCGCGAGCCTGGAAAGTGACGGCCGCGGCGCCCTCTCGAGAATCGAAAACGGACGATTCACTAAGCGACGTGTTAGGGTGGGGGTTCTGTCCACCCCCGAGGGGAGAAGCGTTGAGTCGGGCGTCGGGCGTGCCCCCCCCCCCCCCCTACAGGCGGATTCTGGACGGAAAAGAATACATAGTTTAAAACCATACCCCCCAAAAGGCTCAACCATACTCGAGAAGTCGTCCGCAGACTGTTTTTGTTGTTGGGCAATGTTTGGATAATCGCCCAGAAGAGGGACACGCCCGACTTAAGAGAAAAGGGGAGGGGAGGGGAGGGAGCTCAGCATGAATGGAGGCGGTCCTGGAGGACAAGGATCCCAGACTCTTCCTCCGTGTCCGGCCCTTTCGCGGGGCTCCTCGCGCGGCCCCGGGGACTATCAAGATGACCCTTCGGGGCGAAACACCTGTGCTGCCGAAAGCCCCCTTGGACCAAGACACGCTTCCACCAGGACCCACTTCGTTACTCGTGTGTGTTGCAAGAAGTGCCCCTGGCCCAAGGTGCCCCCAGGGTTCTCGGGGTGGCCCAGACGGCCTCCAGAGCACCCCTCACGAGGCCCAGAGCGCCCCAGAGGCTCCAACATTGAGCGAAAAGCTAGGGGCACCTTGGGCCAGGGGTTCCTCTCTAGCAACACCCGAGTTACACGAGGGAGGCAACGGGTAACGGTGGGAAGCGGGATGCAGACACGGAACATCCTCCTCCCTCCTCCATCGGCCCCTCCGCCTCGGAGAGCCGGGAGGAGAGGGGGAGAGGCGGCGACCTGCTGGCCCGTTCGGGCTGGGCAGTCCAGCGCCCGCACAGGGGGGGTGTCCTTGATCTCCTCCGCCAGCTCGCCTACTTTCGCCTTGCCGTCTGTGATCTTCGCTTCCTTCCCGGTAACAAGATCATCCTCGTCGTCGTCTTCTCCTCCAACTCCTTCTCCGCACCGTCCTCCTCGCCATTCGTGCGTTGGAGACGACGAGGCGGGTGCGGTGATGAGACTCTTGCGAGAGCAGTGACGTCATGAACGTCGCTGCGCGGGGCGCTCTATACCTGCGTTCACCCAGGCGAGGAGGAGGAGGAGGAGCACAGATGCCGACCAGCAGGAGGAGGAGGACGAAACCGAGCCTGGTAACACTCGCCCTCCCCCCCGCCCTGTATCCCCCTTCCTCCCCCCTTGCCCTTCCGCCCCCCCCGGCGCTGTCCCCCTCCCCCCTAATAAACTAATTACGCGTTTCCCCTCCACCCCTCCTCCTCCCTCTCCTCTACTCCCTGCGCCGCGTCCTCTGCGGCTCTGGCCCGCCTCCTCCCCCCTCGCCCTCCGCTGCTCCCTCCCCTCCCTCGTGTCCCCGGAGGCCCCCCCGAGGCCCCAGGAACCACGCACGGAGAGGCGCGCGAGGGCCTCGACGAGGGAGGGGAGCCTACTTATGACTTATGAAGGGGCCCCAGGACACACAAAGAAATGCACACAAATAACAGGATCCCCCATATTTTCACATACTTTCTGGGGTTTTGTCTTCCCCCCACTTCCCATACGTTCCCATATTTTCTGGGGGATCGACGATGAATTGTGTCTGTGTTTTTTCTCTCTGAACTGACCCCCTCCCCTCCAGCGTCTCGATCTTTTCCCCTTTGTCGGTCATGGAGATGTTCACCTCCTCCAGCTCCTTGTCGCACCAGACCTTGCCCCCGGCGCTGCAGCGGCGGCAGGCCGCGGGCGTGAGAGAAGAGGGTGGCGAGGGGCAGAGGCGCATGGGCGGACGAGGGGGACACCGACGGAGAGGAACAACAACACCAATGGGGGGTGGCTGCAGTCGTTTACCCCATCTCGCAGCTGAAACCCACCATTACTGTCCTGCTGTCCATCCTCTTCTCCCTCCTCCTCCTCCTCCTCCTCCTCCTCATCCTGATCATCCTCATCATCGTCGCCATAGCCGTCGCCATAATCAGCGCCACCACGTATCGGTCCTCTTCCTGCTCTCGCCCCACCTGCTCCTCACGTAAAGACCGCGGCAGGCAGTCCACGGTAATCCGGTGGTGAACTTCCACCGTGGGCAGAAGGCGCATGGCCCGCCGTGGGCAGCCTCCGCCCAAGGCCTTGGAGAGGTCGATCTCGCATCCCGTAAGAGACCCAGCAAGGCCGCGACGCGCCACGGAGCGCCGCCGTTGTCTCGACGGCCCCTCCTCGGACTGTCGTCGGGCGGCAGCTCTGGCCTCGAGCGGCCGCTTGCGACGCTTCCGGCATCCCAAGGGGCTCCCAACTCCGGACGAAGGATTGCAAAAAAAAACCCTTCGGGTTTTTTTTTTGCAAAAAAACCCGAAGGGTTGCAAAAAAAAACCCGGACGAGGGTTTTTTTGCAATCCTTCGGGTTTTTTTTTGCAATCCTTCGAATCGGAGCCGAACCGCGAGGCGCGGATTCGCTTCGCGCCCTCGAGGGCGCCCCTGGTGACGAGGCTGGTGGGAGACGCCCCGGGCCCCGAAGAGCCTCCGGAGCGCCCGCAGGGCGTCGCAGGCCGCCACGGGTGCGGCGCGGTGGGCCGCCGCTCCCAGGCGGAGGAGCGGAGGAGGCCGAGGGGGGAGCGGTGCGGTGCGGACGCGGCCGCACGGAACCCTCGCAGGAGACCCAGCCCCGAAACACCGCGCGCGAGATGCTCACGGGGGGGGAACCTGGAGCACCCTGGACGCAGCAGCATCTCTCCAACGGCCGCGGGGGAAGTCATGGCGCAGCGCGCGGAGCGAAGGAACCCAGCTGGGATGCCCTGGCGCAAGGCATATGGTTTCTTGATGCGAGCCCCCACTGTATGGGGCACGACCTGCTCGACCCCCGGCAGACCGTCCCTGCACCCCCCTCTCGCCTCTCGGCTACCCTCTGGCCGCACACACACACACACACACACACACACACACACACACACACACACACACACACGCGCACACACACACGCCTTGGGGCGAGGCGAGGCGAGGGGGCGTCACTGAAGGGGACTGCTTGCTAGGATTAGGTCGGGCATGTCCCCTACAGGCGGATGTTGGGCGGAAAATGCAAAGCAGTCAACAAACATATCCCAAATTATCCCAGTGCGACCCTACCTAGGAAAGCAACATCTACATCTACACCGACAGCTACATTTACATCTACACCTGCATCTACATTTTCATCAACATCAACAGCGAGACTCACATCTACATCGACATCTACATCCACATCTACACCTACACCTACATCTACATATACATGTACACTTTCGCATTGGTAAGCTAAGCTATGCTAAGCTAAGCTAAGCTAAGCTAAGATAAGCTAGGCTAGGCTAGACTAAGCTAAGCTAAGCCAAGCCAAGCCAAGCTAAGCTAAGCTAAGATGAGATAAGCTAAGCTAAGCTAAGCTAAGCTAAGCTAAGCTAAGCTAGGCTAGGCTAGGCTAGGCTAGAAAAAAGCTAAGCAAAGCTAAGCTAAGACGAGATAAGCTAAGCTAAGTTTAGCTTAGCTTAGCTAAGCTAAGCTGGGTGAAACCCAGGGAGCGCAACTGGGGGAACCGCGGGGCGGATGCCAGGGGAACCGCCCGGGGCGCTTTCCACTGCCCGGCCCTTTAAGCCTCAGAGTAAGAACCCTTCTAGGCAGAGCCTAGGTAGGTAACATGCTTAAACAAAAATCGAAAACTCGTGCCCAGACTATTCTTCTTGACTCTTCTGCACTATCCCTCCCGCAGAAGGACAGGCCCGACTCTTGATGCTAGGGGTCGGTTGGGCTGCCCCTGACGCTGGCATGGGACCAGGTCAGGGGGGGGGGTCGGCGGCGACGATGGGGGCGAATAGCCCAAGGGCGGGCATTACACGGTTTCGCCCGGGAGCCTCTTCGATGACACAGATCATCGGCGCACCTCAATACACGTACGGCAGGTTCGTGTCGTGCCGACCCCAGCGTTGGTTTTTGACACCGCAGGGATCGTTCAACCTTGAACGATCGGCCGCTGCCACAACGTCCAATCGTTCAACATCGATCGATTCTGGGTCGCCGGCGGCGTTCAACCTTGAACGTCCGCGCTGGGGTCGCCGCTGGTCGACACGACGCAAACCTACCGTATTGCTCTCCCCGGGGCTACTCGCCCCCATCGTCGCAGCTGACGGCTCGGCGAGGGGGGAGACCGTCGAGCTGGAGAGCCGGCGACGAGCATCGCCGACGGATGGGCGCTCGCTGGCAGGGGCGCACGCTCCCGGCAGGGCGGGCTATCTAGCCTCCGCGTCGGGGATGCACGGGCGATTGGGGGTCGACGTGCGAGCAACGTTGGACCGTTCCCCTCCCCAGCGGCGTGGCCTGGGCCCCACTGGCCGACATACCGCAACACTGAATGGGGATACCCTGCGGGCTTCGAGGGGCGTGTCCCCAACTGAGGTGGCAAATTGGTGGGGGCCTCGAAGGGGAGGGCGGGGATGGGGGTCGCAGAAACGATGCTGACTGCATCCCCCCTGTTCCTACAGTCGGGGTTGACTGAAGAGGACACGCAAGAGGACACAAGACCCTTCCGAGGGCCACATTGCCATGGAAATGTAGAAGGCACGGGATGCGAAGCACAGGACACAAGTGTACCCTTGATGTGGCAGGGTCGACCTATTAATCAATCTCGACTGTATTCACCCTCTCGCTGCCCCTGGGTCAGAGCTCGGCTCTCGAGCGGCCGTTCGGGGCGATCCGGGCCCCTCTCCCGCACGCTCGCGGCGGGGGGCAGCCGCTGGCAGGCACCCCCGGGCCGCGCAAGCCTCCCTCTCCTGGCTCTTTGCCCCTGGGCATCGTTTGGCGATTGGCGGCAAGTGCGCCCGCCCCCCTGAGCCTACAGTCATCGGCCTAACCTCAGGAACGATGAATCAGGAACGAAATCCTTGTTATTTCCCAAGGAAGGACGCACAAGGAACGCTAAATAACCAATGGCGCACAAGGAACGATACATAACGCATGCAAGCCTAAGGAGCGACCGAGCCCCTTTGAAAAGTAAGTGTTCCTTATGCAAGTCGCTCACTGTATCCCCCCCTAGCTGCCATCGCTCGGACGTCCACTCGCGCATTGCTGGGATTCGAGCGTGCGTTCTCCCCCAAATTGTCCAGGATGCTGCAAGGTGGTCCAGACCATCTGGCGCTGGCCTCGACCCCTAAACAAAAACGCACAGGCCCGAACGATGCTCAGCTCCCAGCGATGCTCACTTGGACCTGGGCTAGAGTCGAGCGCCCAGTCCCATACAATACCAGAGCGGGACCGAACGGGGGCCCGAAAATACGAACGAGCGAGGGCCACAGGAGACACTCTTGCGTCGGCGGCTAGGCAGAGTCACTGCGCTGGCGAACGGATCGAAACCCAGAGGAGATACACGGCTGAGCCCCCCAGCTAAGGCGAAGCCTGGACGAAGACAAACATCGGGTGAGGATAGATCGAGAATCTCTGAGATCCGGCGGCTCTGGAAGATGCTTCGGGCGCCGCGGCCCTCTCAAAGCGCTCCGGAACGACCTGGAACGGATTCGTCCTCCTCCGCCTCGGCGGAGGAGGAGGACGAGCAAGAGGAGAATAAAGTGGAGGAGGAGGAGGAAAAGGAGGAGGAGGAGGAGGAGGAGGAGGGGGAGGAGATCCTCGCCCCGTCCGACCAGCGCTGGGCCCGAGGAGAGCGGGCGGGAGGCGGGCGAGCGGCTCGGGGCGGAGGCTGCGGGCGCCGCCGCGCGGGCCGCGGCGCCGCCGCGCCTTGTGCTCGTCCTCGTCCTTCTGCTCGGCCTCCGCACCCCCAACGGACGCGCGGCGGGCTGGCCCCCTGCGCCCACCCCGGACAAGAGAACCTGCTCCTGCTCGTCACGCCTAGCCCCTCCTCCTCCTCCTACTGTTCCTCCTCCGCCTCCCCTCCTGAAACAGTTGGGCAACAGTGCAACGACTGGGCTCATCGCCTGTAGTCTCAGTTGCCTTCGCTGTCTGTCGAGCCACTTCCGACGCCCAGAGGCACGATGCCCGACATGTCCCAGGCAGCTTCGAACACGCGGGCCGGGAGCGCCTGGCGATGCCAGGAGATTGGCGGGGAGGAGCAGGATGGGGCGATGGAGGTGGATGCCAGAGTAAGACGACAGCACAATCGAGACAACATTGGCGATCGATGGGCTCGGGCCGGGGCGGGAGAATCGCGAGACCCATTCCAAATCTGTCTAAGGGGTCGACAAGTCAATCGCGAGACCCGTTCCAAATCTGTTTTTGGGAACATAAGCGGTCATCAATCGCACAATCAGTACACACCTTCACTCCACTCCGCCGCCCCACGCGCGATATGCAAGAACGCCCGCATGCACAAACGATAATGGATGGACGGCGCGTTTGCCCGCGCGGGCAACGCGCGGGCACGAAGGACTGGCCCTCCACGACAGCCAACATTGGATGCCAATCATACCCGATCACTTACATGAGCGATATATTGCACACCCCCTGTTGCAGACCCCTTCTTTCACCCTCCAAGCCCCCGAGAAGGAGAAGGCTGCCACGCCGCGGATGATAAGGTGGATCCGGAAAACGCTGCAGCCAGAGAGGTCCCGCGAAGGAGCGGCACTTTGGGCGGTAGCAGCTACGGGCGACTTCTTTCTCTTAAGGGCGAGGCAGAACGTGTCCAGCGACCAGAACGGGCACGCGAACAACAAGGGTCTGCGGGGCGCTGATGTTACGCCAAGGACAGGAGGCGAGCCATGCAAGAGCTGGCTCGAGGCACACCACGCGGTCGCCAAGGTCGGGCCAGCGTAGTCGCGGGGAGTGGCGCAACCACTTTCAGGTCGAGGCGAGGGAGGGTGAGGAGGCAGAAGCTCGCCTGTGCCCGTGCAGGCGCTGCCCAAAGGAGAGGTCCTCAGTCGCGAAGATGCGCGACCCGCTGTTCGCCTTCAACGGCGAAAAGCTTGTCGCGAGGGCGGGCGTCCAGAAAGTGGCGATGCAGGCGGCCGTGGCTGAAGGAGTGGGCCCGAACGACCTTGGCACGCGCGACTCGATTATCGGGGGCGTCTGCCCCGTGCGCGGCGCACACTGCGCTCGCGCAGCGGTGGGGGCGCTGGAACAACGACGCGTTCCAGGGCCACTTCTGGGAGGCGACGGGCACGGCGCAGGCGGCCGGCAGCATGGCGACCGCAGGGAGCTTCTGAGGCTCGGGCTCGGGCGCAGGGGCAGCACGCAGGCTGCGTTGGCCACTGGCCGTGGCGCGGGGCAGTCCCGCGACATTCGCGGGCCTCCGGCGGCCCGAGGCCGGCGGCGGCAGCGCGGCCGCAGGAGCGCGCGGCAGCGGGGCCGCCGCGGTCTTTCCAGGGCGACGGCGCCAGCGACAGCTGCCGAGGCGCACGCGCGTCCTCGGAGGTGTAGAGGAGAGCTCGGAAGCGGCAGGGCCGGGCCCCCCCCCCCGCGCGGACGGGGGCCCATTGACGGCGGCCCGCGGCCCGCGGCGTGCGGCGGAGGCGCCGGGAGGAGCTCGATGGGGTGGGGGGGGGGCAGTGGCCGCGGGGATGCGCCGGACCGAGAGCTCGCGCCTCGGCGGGCAGGACCGCCCGCCAGGCGCCCTCAGGCCGCGAGGAAAAGGGCGCGCCTTCATCGCCATCACCGTCCGACGAGGAGGAAGGAGCGGCGGTCTGAAGGGCCAGGCTTGCGAATCCATCGGCCCCGATACGTCTGGGGCGCCGGGGGTGGGGCTGTGACGGGGGGAACCTTGGCCTGGAGGCCGCCTGCCCTTCCCTAGAGCGAGCGCCCGCCATGGCAGATGGAAGCCACGGCGGAGCAAAACGAGGTGGCCGCGGCGGCTGCCCCATCCCGGCGCGGACAACCAGCGAGACACCTCTGGCGCGACGCAAGGGGGGCGCTTTCACTCGCTCGAATGCGGCGCGGAGATTCGACAAGGGGGCCCCTAGTCGCCCGCTGCTCTCTCCGTATGGTGCAGAGGGAAACTTTCGAGAGGTTCCACGCGGAGCTCCTCTTCTTGGGCCCTCGGGGGAAGCTCTACAGCTCTACAGCTACTTTGAAAGGGGCCCCAGGACACACAAATGAATACACACAAATAGCACGATTTCCCATATTTCCCCATATTTTCTGGGTTTTTGTCTTCCCGCCCAATTCCCATATTCTCCCATATTTTCGGGGGATCGACGATTAATTGTGTCTGTGCTTTTTTTCCCCTCTAGCTACTTGGGCGACTCCTACCTGGTGGCTGGCGCCGCGCTGGCCGCGCTCGCCCAGCCAGCCTTGCAGCAGGCGCCCCGGACCGTCTGGCTGCGGCTTAACGCAACGAACACGGCCTTTTGGTAGCCTGTTGGGGGCGCTGTGCCCACGGCGGACCTGCGCGCGCGCTGGGCGCCAAGCTTGCCTGTTCTTCTTGCACCTGCGGCTGCCGGGAGACGCCGGCAGCAGCGCGCCCGCTGCTCTGGGGGGGGGGGCTGCGAACAGCCTCAACGAAGCAGGAGGGAAGCTGCAGGCACTCTGGGAGGGATTAAGAGTTGCTGAATCAAGAACACAAGCAACAACGCGGCGGCAGCCCTACTCCGCGCGCGCGCTGCCTCAGCAAGCCAACGCCCCTTGCGGGCGGAATTCGGAATTCGCCACGGACGCCGCGACGCAGCAGTGCGGCGGCCTTTTCGCAGGCTGCTGGCGGGACCCCGTGGGGCGGGACCTTGGCTACGCAACCAAGGTGCCCCTCTGCCCCCCTGCCAGGTCCGGAGGCCTGGGCGCGCGCAGCTGGCCAATGCGCGCCGTCGCGCAGCAGGACCTGGCGGCTGCGCTGCAGACGCCCCTGAAGCAAGGCCCGGCCAAGGAAACGGCGCACGGGCGACAGCGCGCAGCTTTGTTGCGGCGCTTCTTGCATCTTCCCCGATAAACCGAACTACCCAGAAGACGCCTTCTGCACGGCTACAGCTCCAGCGCGCGGAACTCTGCCAGCAGAGGCTTGCGACGGGGGGGGCCGCCTGTTGCTTGCGCGGAACCGGCGGACCTAGCTACGCCGGGGCGCCGGACGAGCGGGGCTACCATGCCCTCGCTTGCCAGCTCGGCGGGGGCGCGGTGGCGAGCCACGGGGGACACAACCAGCAACCAGACAGTCGGCGGCCTCGTCCAGCGCAAGCGCGGAAAAAGGCTCCTCTTCGAGCAAGAAGGCCGACCTGGGACCGCCACCACCCGGGCGGCCGCCTCGAACGCGACATTGTGGATTCTGAAAACCAGGACGACGACGGCCAGCGCTGGATCGACGCTCCCGTGCGCCACCCCGCGGCCGGGGCCCAGGCCGAGCGAACTGCGGGCTGCCGCGCGGCGGGACGGGGAAGCCA